GGCAGACAGACAAAGATGTGGGTGTGTTTGGGGGGGGGTGAGGTAATTACTAATTATTGTTGTTTTTTCAATCTGCAACTATCTATATTATTGTGTCAACGTCTCCGACTCTTCCTAGCCGTCTAGAAGCCTGACTTGTTTATTTCCTCATATGATTCCAGAGTCTCATAATACAGGTTCATACAAACATATTAATGTATAGATACCCATTACGAAAATAGAGACGTGAGAACGGTTTATAAACCGGGAGTGGGACAGATAGATTCATAGCAATGCCCATTTATATTGAATAGAAGTCAAGATATGTATGGTTTAATGAGAAGAGAGTCGTCTTGTGTAGTAAAATTAGAGAGAAAATGGGCGCACAAGTTTGGTGACTTCAAAAACTTGAGTGTCTTTGGAAACGACAAACTTACATTCTTTGTGCCCATTATCAACTTTAAAAAAAGTAAAATTCAAACTGAAATGTGTTATAATTGACGTTATAGGGACTGAACCTCAAAAGAATTCGATAAATATTGCCCATCAGGCGGAAAATGTCGGTTTCTTGGATTTCATTATTTTAACAAACTCTTATTGTCACTACGATACCAAACATGTTGATCGAAAATGACAACGTAGTCAAGGTATGAAGTTATTCAATATCACGAATGTCAAGCAAAAGTTGCGTAGTCTAAGCTACGCATGTGTTGTAAAACCATTTGAGCCCATTTCTCACCGTTTCCCTCAAATAACGAAAACGCATTGTTAAATGAGTAAGAAAGTGGTTGTAGATGTCAGCAGTTGTTTTCTTAAAAAGATAATAACAAAGTATGACCAACTGAGTGAAAACATCTATCTATCTATCTATCTATCTATCTATCTATCTATCTATCTATCTATCTATCTATCTATCTATCTATCTATCTATCTATCTATCCATACGGGGCATTCGGTTGACTTTATGATGCTGTAATGAGCTAAAAAATGCACGTATGATACGTAATTTTGTTAGTCCTTCGCTCAACCCCCGCACCTCAGGGCGACACACCCAGTCATAGAAATCCATTGATCTGGTACGTCACGAATATGACTCGCATGATCTGTTCTTCTTGAATTGCTGTATATGAATTCTAAAAATAAAGTTCGCCTTACCAGAGCTGAGATCTTTGCTCTTTTCTATGCCGTCGGGTTATTCCGTAGGTGGGCTTAAGTAAATACCGTCGGAGGAAAGAACCAACATATTAAATTACTTCTCTTGTAAGTCTTAGAAGAAAATCTTACGTTTTTTTTCATACAATCGCATTGGTACGTTCTAAAGATGTGCACTCTAGTAAACTATTTGGTATTTGCACGAAGTTTAATGAGTCGTCGAAGTATTAACCATCGATTACATCACACTACAGCTTTCGCAGTACATATCTGTCTTAAGGTTTACACATAGTGAATTAGAAAAAAACCCTACCCAAAAGTAAACTAACCACATAAGCTCATCCGCTCGATGTGTGTAAATAACCGTTTCACCAGCTGGTGTTGTTTTTACTGTGCCCTTTCTTGCCTTTTGTGTTTCATATTAACTTTTACTGTATTATTATGGCTTACTTCTTTTCCATCGACACCTACCTACCTCTCTCTCCCTCAAGATCTTCGTTCCCCCTCCCGGCTTCCCTTTCCCCGCTTCCCCCTCCCCCCCTCTGTCACCTCTCTCTCTCTCTCTCTCTTTCTCTCTCTCTCTCTCTCTCTCTCACTCTCTCTCACTCTCTCTCTCTTTCTTTTTCTCTCTCTCTCCCCCTTTCACTCTCTCCCTTTCTCCCCCTTTCTCTTCCCCACCCTCTCTCTCTGCTCTCAAAATTCTCTATCCCCCATTTTTTCTCGGTTTCCACCCCTTCCATTTTACCTATATGTGTATCTCGTCCTGTGCGCCCCCTCCCCCAACTCCACCACCCCTACTCTCCTTTAAGCTTTTTATCTGTACCTTGTTTGTCCAAGTGATCACCATCAGTGCACCTCCTTCACCTCTCAACCTGTGTTTAATTGAGTACCCACTCACAGTAGCTTTGGATACCAGGCTGTTTCAATATCTTCACTTTTTCCTTCAATGTTTGAAAGGTCTAAACGCCTGTTTATATACCCTAGTTTGCCACCTTTGGGAGCAGTTGATGAAGTGTAGACCTCATCTCCTTATTTATACTGTATTGTGAGCGTTGTTTAAGGCCGCCCATCCCGGCTCGTCGAAAAGACACTTGACTAAGGCATACATGGCATGTGGTCATATTCACTAATGTGAATTTCTTGACGTAGGTTTTTCCAACGTTTCAAAGTCTCCACGTCTTGTCGTATCTCGGAGTAAACTTTGGTTTTCGGTGTTCTACCAGAATTTAGTCCGCGTTGTTTTGGACAGGGAGTACAACAGATAGCACAAATATAGCAGCTCAATTTTTGTTGAAGAGACTACAACATTCACACCCATAATCGTCTCCTCTCTTCCACCCATTCTGATTTGTCTGAAACATAAATCCACGCTCCAGCAAACATCCCCTGGAGCTTCAAACATACCAACACACACAAACATTCACTTGCATACGCCTCGATTTCTTTCTTTATTTGAAATGACGGCGCACGCCTTGAGCTAGAGCCAAGCATTCTACGCTCCCGCCCACCTTTAACATGTCCCTCCAAAAACGTCCTATTCTCAAACTCCTTTCAGCCCACTGTACGGACGGGTAGCTGCTCGAGCTCCACTTATTTTAGGGGCGCGTCTTTGCTTCAGCGCAATAAGTCTTTTCATCTGCGGTACAAGACGGCCTGTTACGAGGCGGGTGTGAGATCAGCGAGGGGAGAGATCGCGAAGAAGAGGGACTACAGTGGCTCGTCGTCCACCAGCCGTACTGCTGTTGGCTTTGGCGATTGAAGTTTTGTGTTTAATATGCAAATACTGACAAATTCACCTATCAAATAAGGGGATTTTCACGGGAATCAAGAAAGAAAAGCAACTTAAACATCCTTGCCACGAATCGGACCTACGGGATCACATTATTACGATTCTCAGTGAGTCATCCTTCGGGGTAAGTAGCTTACACACCACAGTGTAAACCAATTAAGAATAGAATTTAAGCTCATTAGTTTCTAATACGTTTACCCGTGTATACAGACGCCTCAGTTATATTATGATCTTATAAATGTACGGCAGAAATCAACATTGCTTACATTGACAGCATAATTTTGACTCATTAGCTTCTGATGCGTTTACCTTCTTGCACGGACACCTTACGATTATCATGGCCTTACCTGTATACAACCGAAACGTACATAGCAAAGTTTACGAATTAACAACATCATTAAACTCCTCATAACCTAATATGTTTACCCGTGTATGTACCAAAAACAAACCGTTTTGACAAAGTACAAACTAATTAACAGTAACTGCAAAACACTTTTACCTGAGCACTCACAAAAAGAAAAACGTATTATGGCAAAATCTGCGCGGTGACACCGTCATTAAAACTTTTTTATTGCACAGTACATTTGTTCTTGTATGCAAAGCAAATACAATTTTCTAATGCCAGTAGCCTACTTTCGTATTTCAGAAACCCATAAGACACGGTGCAAACCAATTAATGACCTCATTAAAACCCCTCTCTACACAGAACGTTTCTCACAATAGAAAAAAAGGCTTGCAGGACACGCAGCAAACTAATTAATGGTAAATACTTTTAAATGTATATGCTGTGCCGTTGTATTTGAGAAAACTACTAAAATAGGAGAAAAAATCATAACCTTATGGCAATCCATCACTATAAAATACTTTTACATACATATCCAAAAACCTACAGACGTACTATTATAATCATTACGTTTTTTATCTACGTTAATAAGGAGAAACCCTAGACACAATGCTTTCAAAAATCTATACTCTGACTGAAACCGCTCACCATAATAATATAGTACGTTTACCTGTGTATATTATTATCATGTTTGATAAGTACATGTAATACCAATGTCTTCAAAGGTTGCAATTATTATATTTGCGGTGGCTCTGAAGAGGGGCCCTTGCCTTTCGCTCCAAGTTACACGTACCAGATTTTTGTTCTCCAGTGAGAAAACCCATCTACTTTTACTTTACTTTTCCCATCCAGCGGCCATTTGGGTTCTAGCCCTTCGGTCTGATGATATGGCAAAGAATGAAAACCCATCTAAAGGTAGATACAAAATATGGGGTATCAGAAAACAGGCAAGAGATCACTAGCCATGTCTTTTGGGTAGTTTCAACCGTGTTTAGTCACTATCCGTACTGACAGTTCCCATAGTATTTTACAATTTGGCTTCAAATTCTCGCTTTAGCGAACAAGCTAGTACCAGTTGGCTAGCGGTGGTTCTCCACCGGTGCGCAACGCCATTATGCTACCTTCGAGCTAAATCGGCCATCTCGTTTGGGTCACCGGTGCGAAAAGATCACGGTAAAGGCCTAGTCTTTTGTTGTAGCCAAGGGGGGTTCTGTTCCAATGAACGACCCTCTCCCTTCTGTTCCAATGAGCGTCACTCTCCCACATAAGCCACACACAAATAGTGACATTTTGTTCCCAACCGAAAGTACCTTGGATGTGCATTGGCTCAAAGGACCTAGCTCCACGATCGCACTAAATGTCCTGAGTGTGTTGACAGAACCTGTTGAAATAACTAGTCTGAAAACAGTCTTTAGCAGTTCTTAAAGTGTGAAAGTATTTCGGAGATATTTCTTGTGGTGGTGGATAGCGTGACTTCCAAGGTCTAAGACGGAACGAAGAGGTACAGAATGTTTCCCCCTCAGCTTTTGATCTTGTGGCATATCTTGAAAACTTTATTTTTTATAGTACATGGTTGCTTTTTGCTAGTTATTATCATTGCACATTGCCATTTCCTCTTCCATCTTCGCTCCTCGTTCTACCTCAATGTTATAGCCCTCTACAGACCCTCTCTCCTTCCTAAATTGTCATTTATTCCTTTCTATTTTCACTTCACTGTCTGCTTAATGATCTGTCTTTCTGACTGTCAATTTGTCCGTATGTTTATCAGTCTATAAGCCCTTTGGCTATTTCTCCCCTTCCTCTTCTTGTTTTTCTTCTTGGTCCTTGTTCTTGTCCTTGTTCTTGTTCTTGTTCTGATTATTGTTCGTGTTCTTGTTCTTATGCTTATTCTTGTTCTTGTTCTTGTTCGTATTCTTGTTCTTATGCTTATTCTTGATCATCCGAAAACGTTAAACAAAGAAGGGGAGAAGAGTCAATGGTAACGCAGTTGGAAATCCTAGACAAGTAGAAACGATTCTTAATAAGTAAGCGGGAAAGCAATGGGGTAACTCGGAGTAACAAAGGACGTTCACTTTTATTTCAGTGTTAACATTTAATAGAGTTTCTGAATCAATCATTCTTTTTTCTATCAGTCATTTATTTTTTAACGATTTATTCGTCAACAGCTGTGTGAGATATTTTGTCGGATCTTTCTTAATACAAAGCACTCATTTTGCTTTCACCAAAAGTAATCTATCTATGTATGGCATCTATATTATATTATCTATGTATCTATATGTCTATCTATGTATCTATCTTTGTATGTATGTATCTATGTATGGATGTATCATCTATCTATCTATCTATCTATCTGTCTATCTATATATCTCTCTATGTGTCTATCTGTCTATCTATCTATCTATCTATCTATCTATCTATCTATCTATCTATCTATCTATCTATCTATCTATCGATCTATCTATCTATCTATCTATCTATCTATCTATCGATCTATCTATCTATCTATCTATCTATCTGTCCGTCCGTCCGTCCGTCCGTCCGTCCGTCCGTCCGTCCGTCCGTCCGTCTGTCTGTCTGTCTGTCTGTCTGTCTGTCTGTCTGTCTGTCTGTCTGTCTGTCTGTCTGTCTGTCTGTCTGTCTGTCTGTCTGTCTGTCTGTCTGTCTGTCTGTCTGTCTAACATAATATATATGTATTATGTTTATATAAATAAATAAATCTATTACCAAATAGCTAACACGTCGTAGAGCCATGTAATGCACTGGAGTTTTTAAAAAGCTAGAATGTTCGAAAGTGCACGTGACTTACTTCGACTTGAATCGCTTCCTTGATCTTATACTTTTGTGAAAAACTAAAGTTAAACCAACATTAAATTCGTTTTTGGGGGTTGCCTTTTACGTTTTGACTAAAAGGTCACGGTGACCCATAGAAACATTGTCTAATTTGTATCCTTTTTTTTTTTTTTAACCAAACGAACTTATTTGCTAAAGTTTGACTATAAGAAGCACTACCTTTTTTGTGTGTAAATCAATCTATACCAGAGATTTAGCCACGTTTTCTTTCAACTGAGTTTATTAAGAATATAAAGAGAACTCATCTTTAAAAGATATATCGATATTTTGGACTTTAATTAAGACCTAAATGGTGATAATATTCTCTTTCAGAGCATAATATACGACTCATTGTACTTATTGATCTTCCTAGTCTTATTTATTAACCGCTAGGTTCCTCTGTCAAATATTACCACCCCCACCCTCCTCTGTCGCATATGACCACCACCCCCCCCCTCCACTCTTTTCCTCCGGCTTAAGATTGTCCAACAGTTTAACGTCAATAGGCTCGTCATTCGGATATCGGAACCAAGTGTGTTCATGTAGCAGCGGAGCCAACACTCTCAAACTGCTTCATCCTCCAGCTTTCAGGGTACTGTCCATTTCTGACAGAAATAGACATGGAAATAATATTATACATTCTGAGTTTTTAATCAATTTTTTATAATCTGCGTGCTCAAGTACATAATATCTTTTTGTCCTAAGACTTGACATATTGTACACACTAATCCACGGGCATGGTTCTAGCATTGCAGAAAAAATGACTCAACAATGAATGCAGTTTCTTTTGCTGGGCGTGGTTTTCTCTCGTACATAATGCCAGCGGTCTCTCTCTTTCTTTCTTACTCTTTAGGACTAAACTTGTGATGTGTCTTTAATCTGGAATACCGCCTATTCCATATCTTGTTCATCCTTATCAGCGACAAAACTGTCAAACACTTTATTAATAAATTGTGTATCGTTAATAAGTCGTCGTAAAATTCGGATTGCGTGATACTACCGACCTACCCATATAGACTAAACCCTGTCCCTCTTTTTGCTGTCCATTTAGGACTAATTGTATCGTGTTGGGTATTTTTTTTAGCCCCATTCGACCTGCCCCCCCCCCCTTCTTTTTCCTCAAATCATTTCTAACTAGTCTATTGAATATTGTCCCAGAATTAGTCCCGCTGCGTAACTGCAATTTGTCGACGTGCTTTGGTATAATGGGAAATAAGAACTTAAGCTAAGTTCACACATTTAGTTTCCTCTTTAAGCTGTTCGAGCTTTAGAATGAAAACTCCCTTTTAACTGCATGCGAGCGTTCATGAGAAATAGGGCTTAACAGTCACATTCGTGTTTATATAATGATCTCTTAATTCAACAAAGCTGTCATGATCGAGACACACCATCTGAACTTTCTGCTGCCCATGTCTGAACAGCTGTGTTCTTTGCTCACAATCCTCTTCTTGAAAAGGGAAAGTTTACCTTATTGTCGTTTGGTCAAACAAAGATTGCTCGACCAAACATTGTATGTCTCCCTTTCTATGGCCCTATCGTTTTCTCAGCATCTATTCTCCCCAGTCGATCTCTTCCGGGTCACGAAAGGAAAGATTGTCTGTTAGCTTGCTGGGAGCAACGCCTGTGTCAATACTGTGATGGATATTTGAAACTTTGGCCACGTCACCTCTATTCATATAGCTTTTCCTTTATGCTTCCATCATATCCGGGGTTACACCCTTTTTGAGCTTCGCAGTTTGAAGCTACACAGTAAAGAATTCTCTTTTGGGTTGGGCATATTATGTAGTGTGTTGGGTGGCTGTCCGCTTTGATGCTCTTTTAAGGTAATGCCTTAGGCACAAGCACGCTTCTTTCTTTGTTACTTTGTTTCATTCTTTCTTTGATTATTCCTTTCTTTTTTCTATTTTGGTTCAGCCCTTTTTCCGTCTTCACCCTCGCCCCTTTCTCCTGTC